AGATGTTTTACCAGAGATCTGACTCAAAATTTCTATTCATACTCATTGTTGTCCAGTTACAACCAACTCAGCTGATTCTCCAGTCGGTATTCAGGGCTGTAAATTGCCCAGGAAAAGATTGCCTATTTTTCTCCTGAGGAGTAGTTGTTGGATTTGAACTGCCAGAAAGGAGTGAGTGGTCTTTGGATTAGAGGCACCAGTCCATACTGACTTTGCCACTAGACTTCTTTGAGATATGAAGATACTATTTTCAGCAAATTAGTTTCTTTCCTTTTTTGCTATAATATGCCATATTTTGTAAAATGGAAATGCTTTTACTTCTATCACATGTTCATGTTCCTAAGTATAATAATTACTTCCCTTTTCTCACAAGACAAAGAATGGGATAAATTACATTTTACTCATTGGCATAAATAATCATTAATGAAAACAAACAATAGAAGTCACCAGTGGCTGCTGGCTGATCTCCACCTGTTGACTGAGAGTTGAGCAGTCATGTCACTACAATAACATCAAGACCACTGGACATAGGGGAGCTCTGGTGGCCTAGTGGCAAGAAGCTGCACTGCAATCCCAGAGGAACACGGTTCGAATCCACCAGATGCTCTGCCGGAGAAGGAGGCGCAATATCCTCCTGTACCAGTCAGATCTGATTTGATGGTACACGCACACAAAATAATAATTAAAAAAAAAAAGACCACTGGACAGACATAGGAGCTATCGAAGAGGGAAAGTCAGGATAAGGACGCTCAATGTTGTTAGACTGTCAGATGAGTATCAGGAGATATTTGTAGATTGTTATTGTTTTTGTTGTTGTGTATTATCAAGTCAGAACCCACCCAAAGCTTCCTTCAGGGTTTTCAGAGGCAGTTAATCACCTGGGAGGAAATTGCCCATACTTCTCCCATGGAGCAGTTGACAGATTTGAACTGTATACCTTCAGGATTGCAGTTCAGATTCTTGCCACTAGGCCATGAGAAGCTTATATAATTTTCATCAATTCTAACCGTGTTGCCTATTATCTCTTTCCCAAAAAAGACCTAGATACAATCAAATGCTGTTATCCTTCATTGTTGGTTGGACTATCAGACTGAGTTTCTCCAAATGTTTTCCAGAACATTTGAACAATTTTAAAAGTACTAATATTTATTGGAACATGATCGTAACAGTGGTTCTTTCCTATAACATTTTATTCTCCATGGGAGAAGGATGAGCATTCTCCTCCCGTGTGATTAACTGTCTCTAAAAACCCACTGAAGGGCTAGCTATGGGTCAATTCCAATTCAACAATACTCAACAACAAGAACGACATAGGTGCATTTACCATTTTTACCCACTACCATTGAATATCCCATGTATTACTAAAAAGACAAAATATATGTCCTGGAAGGAATGCAACCAGAGTGCCCTGTGGAGAGAAGGATGACCATACTTTCATACTTTGGACAGGTAGCTAGGCGAGGCTATTCTTTTGAAAGGGACATCATGCTTGAAAAAAAAAAGGGTCAGCAAAGGAGAGGAAGACCCCCCCAACGAGATGGATTGACACTGTGACTTCAGCAATGAGTCCTAGTGTCTCAGAGATGATGAGGATGGCACAGGACAGGGCAGGGGTCACAATGGCTGTTCATGGGGTCACTATGAGTTGTACTTGACTCAACGGCATCTAAAACCAACATTGAATAATATGCATGACTGTGTTTGCTTTCTTTGGTTTAATGTTTCTGAAGTTCACCCATGTTACTGTAAATTGAAAATTTGTTGTTTTTGTTTTTGTTTTTGGTGTATTTTTTGTTGTTTTTTTTACCTCCTAGTATTGGAATTCCATGGTTAACCAAAAGGTTGGTAAATTTGTTACCCTGAAATATGGGTATGGCTTTTCACCTGGAGTGACTGAATTTTAAAAAGACATCCAAGTTTCAGGGAAGATAGAGGCTTTTAATATGAACTCTATAAATAATACAAAGGGGAAAAGGTTAAAAAGTAAGAAACTAGCTAGTAGAGCAAATCAGCAACAATGAAGGCTCTTTCTTAATTGGAGATTTCCTCATCTCTCTCCCATCAAGTGTTCAATATGTAGGATACAGGAACAAAGTCCTGGGTATGGGATTCTATGTGGGATAATCCTGATATTAGCATAATAGATAGTACAGAACATTCTTATCCTCCTTCTCAGTAGAAGTTTACATTAAATCACTAACAAAGTGTTAATTACTGGAAACTGTAATATAACTGAACTAGCTACAGAACATAAAATGTTATGGTTGTTATGTGCCATTGAATTGGAAATGGCCTAGAGCTGACCATTCAGTTGGTTTTTTTGTTTTGTTTTGTTTTGTTTTTTAAGGCAATAAATCATTTGGCAGGAGATTGGCCATCTTTCTCCGTTTGAGCAGCTGATGGATTTGAACTGCAAACCTTCAGGCTGGTAATGCAGCTTCTTACCACTAGGCCACCAGAGCAAACTACTGGTTATTATTTTTCTTCAGTCTGAACCCTTAGTGGCTCCAGGGGAGAATAACGAGACAGTCTGTTTTTGGAAAGATTTACAGCATCGGAAACCCCATGGGCAAAAGGGCCATTGTGAGTTGGGATCAGATGGATACGTGTGGATTCTGTTTGTATTACCATTCCATTAATCTCATTGCATGTATACTTTGACTTGTTTATTCATTTTCCTGTTGGTAGACATTGGGCTATTTCCAGTGTGGGGCTATTATAGGAAAGCTGCTGTGATCATTTTTATGCAAATCTCTGGGAATACAGGTTTGGATTTGTAACTAGGTAATTTGCTCATGTAGCCACTAATGTTGGTGTTTCCAGCTTTTTAATCTTAGCCATCTTAATTGCTTTTGGTTAAACATTCTTCTAAGTGGTATAGCACTGGTCTGTCCATTTGCTGTACAGAAGTAACTCGTGTTTGCTGTGAGGCTGAACACTGTGACACTAATGTGTCAAATGCGATAATGATTACCTATAGTGGACAGTGTTTGGTGGAGCTCCCCAATTAAAACAAGCTTGGAAGCAGGAGTGGCATCCACTTCTGAAATAGCTTGCCTCTCTGGAAACTCTGTGAACCTGGAGAAAGGACGAAAGTTATACAAGTGTTCAGGTTTTTCATTCTTGGGACCTTATGAGTCATCCATGACTTGATGGCACTTAACAACCACACCACAGTGATTGTGAAGGGAGCTGTGGGGGCCAAGTGACTAAGGAATTGTGCTGCTAACCCAAAGTGTGAAGTTCCAATCTGCCAGCTGCTTTGTGGGAGAATGATGGACAGTTATATCCCATGCTATTTACAAGTTCTGAAAACCCAGTGGAAAGGTTAGCTCTGACTCAAAGGCATACAGGAACGACGGATGTCAATATTTATATGACATCCACTTATCTAAAGAGTGTCTTGGTAATATTCTAAGCAACACTGAGAGTAGGTAATAAACCCCTCAGTAGTTTAAACGTTTGCTTTTTTTTGTTACTTGTGTACTTTTCACAATTAGTTTTGGGATGATTTCAATTTCTGTTTCACTGAACAGCTCTTATATAATCTTATGACATTTGAACTATGGAATCTACAACTTGGTTGTTTATTAAATAAAAAAGAAGAATCAGATAAAAAATAAGATAAACACCTGATAAACTGCCAAGAATTACAAGCTCTTTGAAAGAATGGATTCCTTCAGATGTACAATAAATACCGTTCCATTTTATACAACTTAGCTTAATTTTTAAAGGGGCTCTAGTGGCCTAGTGGTAAGAAGATGTATTGCAATCCCAAAATCACATGATTTGAATCCACCAGCTGCTCCATGGGAGAAGAACGGGCAATCTCCTCCCGTCAGGATAAACTGCCTCTGAAAACCTGCTGGAGGGTCAGCTATGGGTTGGTTCTAACTCAACAGCATGTAACAATAATGAGCTTAATTCTTCAGTTGCCTTCAATGAGCTGATGCAACTTTAAAAGCAAACACACACACAAAAAGCATACGAAGACAAACTATAAAGTAAAAGATTATCTTAGTTTCTCTGTGGTATCTTTCCTCCTGCCCCATTCTTATCTCACGCAATGCCAAGGTGTGTGCATACCAGGTAACAGGAAGGGTAGTTTATCTCTGGTCATTGGTCCACACAGATCACTGCTGGGCATATGCTGTTCCTGCCCCTTTGGGTTCATTCTTCTGCTGCTGCTTTTCTGATGCCAAGCTTGTATTATAAAAGTCTTTTCCATGACTACCTGCAATGCTGGTTGTCTAGATTTAATATCTCTCCAAGAATCTTACGGAAAAGCAAAACATAATGTCACATACACTTCTTATACTTTCAGACCCCACAAACTTCCCTTAAAGTCTGTGCTTTTTATCCAGGAAGATAGGATAAGTTTTTAGGCAGGAATGAAAAGCTCCATTCTCACTGATTCTCTGCTTCTTTCCAAGACACATTGTGTTTGCATCTAAAGTCCACAACAACTTGCCAATCCCTCTATTTTCTTCTCTTCATTGTGGCTCTTCTGAGGTATGTACTCACATTCTGCTCTCGGGGAAAAAAAAAGGAGAAGTTCTCTCTCTCTCTCTCTCTCTCTCACACACACACACACACACACACACACGGAGGAGGAGACTGCCCATCGTTCTGTGATGGAGCCACGGCTAGGCTGGAACCATCTTTGTAACCCATTTTAGTACCTAGCTGGTTACAGGCTAACCCACCAGAGAAAACCTAGAGAATGTATTTTATTATTTTAGCTAGCCAAAAACACCTGCATGTATTCTTATTTTTTACGCTGTGTTTTTTGTCTACACTGTGCATTTAAAATTGCAGTTAATATTATTTTACCTGCAATTAATTTTGCCATTTTAGATTGCAAATATATTTACTACCAAATATATATTATAAGCCTGTATGGATTTCATGCAGTGTCATGGTTTCCTCTAAGTTATAAATTATATCTACTATCCAAGATCAAAAGAATTCTCATTGATAATTTTTATTGATTTCTACAGAGCTGAATGCTAAAGGAGCCATTCTCTATGCCTTTGAAATGTTCCGCCTCAAGTCCTGTGTGGATTTCAAGCCTTATGAAGGCGAGAAGTCATATATCATATTTCAGAAGTTTGATGGGTCAGTATGAAATTTTACAGTGTAAAACTGGTGCATGTAACGTTTTGGTTTATGAAAATGTATACATCTTTTCCAAAATCTAACAAAAGAAATCGGAAAGAAACTAAACACTAAATATTCCATTATGAATTTTTAAATTATGAAACAGTTCTGGTATGTTGTAATAAGAATAATAATTTAGATACCTCTGGGCTTCAGGGAGGTTTATTTTAAGTTTTAGACTAAGGCTCGGTTTTAAAGTAAAGTACTATTTTATATTGTGGTAAGTATGCATATAATAAAAAATTTGGCGTTTTAACATTTTTATATATATAATTTAGTGACATTAATTACATTTATATTGTGTAATCATGACCACTATTGATTTTTAATTTTTCCATCACCCAAAACATAAGAGCAGCATTCCTTAAGGAATGATTCTCTTTTGCTTTCCTCCATCCTTGTAAACACTTTGGTTTTTATGAATGTGTCTTTTCTAAATATGTCATATAAATCTCTCTCATTGCTGTTTCATCATTTCTCCAAGTTCATAGAGTTTCTGGAAACAAACTATTTCAGAAGTGGATGCCATTCCTGCTTCCAAGCTTGTTTTAATCGGGAAGCTCCACCAAACACTATCCACCATGGGTAACCATTATCACATTGGACACATCAATGTCACAACGTTCGGCTTCACAGCAACCATGAGTTACCTCTGTACAGCAGGTGGTCAGACCAGTGCTATACTATGTAGAAGAATGTTTGACAGAAAAACAATTAAAACCAGGCCTGAGGTCTGCAGATTAAAATCTTCCACCATTGGCTTGGTAGCATAACTTTCTATCCACTAGGCCAACAGAGCTCCATTAATTTTTTCACTGTTGTGGCATTTAAGTAACATTGTTTAAATAAACAAATAAAAAGACTACCAACACATTTCTTACTATGTTCAACATTGGTTGTAGATCACCATTCTACAACTGAGGTCCAGTAAGTAGATGATTCTAAAGGATTCTGAGTTTACTAAGTCATCACCTCAGTGCATCCAGTGGCAACAGACTCATAGTTGACCCTCCAGTGAGTTTCTGAGGCTGTAAATCACAATAGGAAGAGATCTCCCATCTGTCTATCTAGGCCCTGATGTTGGATTGAAACCATCAAAGAGACACATCACGTGTTTTGCTAGCAGTGCTACTCTTTTCAGACTAAGCTGAAGAGAGTTGAAAAATAGAGTTCCAGAGAGAAGACCAAATTTGGGGGGGGGGAAGAAAAATATGAGGAAATCAGGGTTTTTAGATATTTCCTTAGGCAACTTCAGTAGGTGTTGTATATAACATGGACTATTGACTGAAAGATTGCTCAATGGAGAAAAGAGAATGTCTTTTCTTATAAAGAGTTACAGCTTTGGAAATCCTTCGTGTGGTAGCCAGGAGTTGGAATCTACTTGATGGGAGTAGATGGAGATATTTCCTGAGTAGCTTGATTTCTCATAAAAGTGTGGGTCTCCTTTGCTTGAAACCCTTCACTAATTTAGGAAACCTTCTCCATTTTAATTCTTGAGAGCATCCTGTTGTACGTGATGGTAAGTAAGAATGTGAATTTTTACCTTAATGTAGAGTGTTCCTTGAGGAGAAGGATGGTGAAGCTTGGTCCTGTGTACCTTGGGTATGTTGTTAGGAGGTGCTATTCCTTAGAAAGAGGCATCATGCTTGGCAAGGTTATCAAAAGGGAAGAAGACCCTCAAGGAAATGGACTGACAAAAAGTGAAAGCAATGGCTTTGACCATGTCAGACATGATGAGGACAGCACAGCATAAGACAGGGTTTAGATTTGTTGTTCATAGGGTCACACATGGCTCATACTTGAATTGATGGTAACAAGATCAATAAATCTATTATTAAAGTTACTTTTCCTCCAGTGCCCCACTTTTATAATGAATCGTTGCTTTTAACACCTATGCAAATTTCCCTCTAAGGAATGTTCCTTATTTAACCATTGTCCTATTATTGAAGCACCAGCCTGTTAGAATGTTCTTGATTAATGTATTATTTTAAAAAGTTAAACTTAGCTTATGTTCTGAAATCCTTCAAATGACATCCATTTTTTTGAACTTAATTCTCTGGGACACATTGTCTCTCTTCTCATCTTTAAAGGTGCTGGTCAGAGGTTGGTGACCAACACGTGGGTCAGAATCTGTCCATTGGTGAACGATGTGACTATAAGGCCATCATTCAACATGAAATCCTGCATGCTTTGGGATTTTACCACGAGCAGTCAAGGACTGACCGAGATGATTATGTAAACATCTGGTGGGATGAAATTATTCCAGGTGAGTATGACCCCATCTTAATTGGGTGGAATCTGCTATTACCTTTATCACTTGCTAAAAGTGACTCAAGGGGGCTCTGGTGGCATAAGTATGTAGAGAGAGCTGCGCTGTTAAACCAAAGTTAACCCAGAGTCAGTTCCAATTGAATGACCATGAGTTTGAAGGCCAACTGTGGAATAGCCAAATTTGTGTGATCTGGGCTTTGGCTGGTACCAAGTATATTGATTGTGGACCTAAGTTAAGATAAAGTTGTTGACAGCTTCAATCTTTCCTCCATATTAATTATGATGTTGTTTATTGGTCCAGAGGAAAGAATTTTTGTTTGGGGTTTTTTTTTGGGTTTTTTTTTTATGTTGAGATGAAATTCATATTGCAAGCTGCAGTCTTTGACCTTCTGCTGCAAGTGTTTCAAATCCTCCTCACTTTTAGCAAGAAGCAGAGTTGTGTTATCTGCATACCAAAGTTTATTGAGTCTTCCTTCAATCCTGATGCCACATTCTTCTTCAGAGAGGCCAGCTTCTTGAATACTTTTTTCAGCATATAGATTAAGTAATGTTGTTTTTGTTAAGTGCTGTTGAGTAGTAGGAAACTCATAGCAACCCTATGAGTGAAAGTCCTGGACACCTGTAAAACTTTTGTCCTTTATCCAGGTTCATAGGGTTTCCAGAGACAAGCTATTATGGAAATGGATGCCACTCCTGCTTCCAAGCTTGTTTTCATTGGGGAGCTCCACCAAACACTGTCCACCATGGCTAACTATTAACACATTTGACACATCAGTGTCACAGTATTCAGCTTCACAGCAACCACAAGTTACCTCTGTATGGCAAGTAGACACACCAGGGCTATAAGACCTAGAAGAATGTTCCACCAAAAACAATTAAAGGCAGGCCTGAGGGCTGCGGATTAGAGTCACCCACTTTTAGCTTGGGGGCATGACTTTCTGACTTCTGCTAGAAGTATAAGTATAAAAAGGGTAAAACCCAGATACATGCCTTTAATTTAAAACTAGAGTGTTCCTTTGTTCACAATAGCTTTTTGCTATTTACAAAAAGCACAATAGCTTTTTGATCTAGGTAGAGGTTTCACATGAGACTTGTAGGTCCTTCTTTTAAAGTGAAGTAATTTGCAGATTTGACCATCCCTGCTTTGAACACAGGTTGTCCAGTCCCCATTTGCTCAACTCTTTTCTTCATTCTTATCAGATACAATTGTAAATATCTAAGTTGCCTGTAATAACTGGAGAATTGTTCTTAAAGGACACACTAAGGCCAATAATATTATAATCAAGACAATATTTTTATCAGGATAAGAATTTTATTGTACTTTATTTTTACGCTGAATTTAGTTATTTTCAGTTGGTGATAATCATACTGTTTGACCACAGAAGATACTGCACTGGAAATATATTACTCTCCCTAAGTCCAGTCTTTTTAAAACATTTCTAGCATATGAATCTTTTCCCTTGCATTGAGAAAAATCTCACCTTCTGATGGTTAGATGGGATTGGCAAACTACAAGCACAGTTCAGAGTCCAAAGACAACTGTTTTTGTAAATACAGTTGTATTGGAACACAGAGATACTTATTCATTCATGTATTATTTGTAACATAATGGCAGAAGTGAATAATTGCAACAGAGAATCCTATGCCCTACCAAGTAAAAAAACCAGAATAAAAGAAATCCTTAGTATCTGACCTTAAGAAAAATGATAATCACCACTTGGTACAAGAGTGATTTCAAGTCTCTCATTTTTGAGTTATTGAGGGCAGGACTACATCTGTTTCATAAACTACCAGGAGCTGGCATGATCCCAGTGGATAGACAATTAAACCCACAGTTGGTAAGCCAGTTCTGACTCATAGACTCTTCATCAGGGTTTGTAAATCTAGTGGGACTGCCCATATTTCTCTCAGAATGGCTGGTGGATTTAGACTGCTGATCTTTCAGTTAGTGGCACAATGTGTAACACTTCAATATATAGTAGTTTGCTATTGATCCAGAACTGACTCAAAGCTGACCTTTCAGTGGGTTTTCAGAAGCAGTAAATTACATGGGAAAAGAATTTCCATCCTTCTGTGGAGCAACTGGTGGATTCTAACCGTGAGCCTTTGGGATTGGAGTACAGTGTATTACCACGAGGCCACCAGACCTCCCTCTCTTGATAGTTGTTGTTGTTGTGTACCATTAAGTTGGAACCAACCCATAGCTGACCCTCTGGCAGATTTTTGGCGTAAAAGGAGAAGACCGTCAACCAGATGGATTGACACAGTGACTGCTGCAATTGGCTCGAGTACGTTAGAAATTATGAGGATGGCATAGGATAGGACAGGGTTCATATTTGTTATGTATAGGGTCACTGTGATTTGTACTTGAGTTGATGGAACCTAACAACAACAACTGGTGGAAGTTGTGCTGCCAACCAAAAGGTGGACAGTTGAAATCCACCAGCTGCTCTAATGTGACTAGTCTCCTCCAGAGTGATTTTCCTTTGCAGGAAACTATGCTACAATCCTGAAGGCACATGGTTTAAATTTACCAGCTGCCCCAAGGGAGAAAAATTGACAATCTCCTTTCAAACAATTTACTGCCTCTGAAAACCCACTGGAGGGTCAGCTATGGGTTGGTCCCAACTCAAAAGCACACAACAACAACAACAACAACACACACACACACACGTACACACTCATATGCCCCAAACCCAAATCCACTATCACTGAGTCAATTTTGACTCATAGAGACCGTGTAGGACAGACAGTATAGGATGGCCCCTTAGAGTTTCTTCCTTTGCTGTAAATCTTTATGAGAGAAAACAGCCTGATCTTTCTCCCATGGAGTTACTGGTGGGTTTGAACCATCAGCCTTTGAGTAAGCAGCCAAATGCATCAACTACAGCACCATCAGTGCCTACACAGGCATACATTTAACTCTACAATGCAGTATTATTTAGGCTTTTGTTTGTTTTTCAGTCTTTGAGCACTTGGTAAAAGGTGAAGAAAATAATGTGGCTGAGCAGGGGCTTTGAATTCTCACCCATACAGGTTACCAGCACAACTTTAACACCTACGACGACAACTTCATCACAGACCTCAACACACCCTATGATTATGAGTCTTTGATGCACTATGAACCTTTCTCATTCAACAAGAATGCGAGTGCCCCTACCATCACAGCCAAAATCCCCGAGTTTAATCCCATCATTGGACAACGCCTGGATTTCAGCGACATTGATTTAAAAAGGCTGAACCGAATGTATAACTGCAGTGAGTATTCCTGAGTAGACCAGATCAACCAGCCCCAGCAGACATTCCTTTGACTTTATAAATGTATTTTACCTTCTTTTTATCCTCTTTTCATTCCCATGTTCTAGATAAAAGAACTACTTTTCTCCAACTAATCAAACTGTTCTATCTTTAGAATAGGAAAAAACCCAACAAACCCCTATCATAATATCTACTTCACAAGATAGTTATGGAAATCAGTTATGAAGTAATTTTTAATTATTATACTAGTTTATTTACAAAATTGGAATACATTATTTTTCAGGCCAGATTCTTCCAATTTTAATCACCTCCCACCCATCAAATTGTATAACCCCATGGTTAATCGCCCCCCATGCACACATCCTCATCCCTCTGCTTCCACCCTCCCACTCCCCCTTAGAACCTCATACTCATTCTACAATAATGGTTTTATATATATCCTTGTGGGACTGAGTTAGTTCACTCAGCATAATGTTCTCCAGTCCCTCTCAAGTTAAGTGATAATTAACAAAATCATTGCTTCTGTGTGCTATGTAATATTCCCTTGTATGAATGTAATTTCTCAATCCATTCGATTGTGTTTGGACATCTAGGCTGTTTCCATGTTCTTGTAATAGTGAATAATGTTGCTATGAATATTGGTACTTAAGACTCCGTTTGAGCCTCAGTTCTCATTTTCTCAGGGTATACTCCAAGCAGTGGAATAGCTGGGTCATATGGAATTAAGTTTCTTTTTTTGATAAAGGAAATTGTTGGACATATGCAAGGAGCTGTTTCTGTTGTTACTCTCTTACCTCTTTAGCTTTTGGAAGGATTTATCAATAAGATCAAAATAGTCCAAATAAATGGTGATACATTTGAGAGTATCTTGTGTCCTTCAAATTATTGAATCTTGGTTACCTATTCCTCAAGTGATCAAGTGTGTTTCCTGGGATGGGGACTTTCTGAATAACTCCACTAGTCTTCAGAGATAATAATTAGTTTGGTTCAACAAGTCTGTATGGAAGATTTACAAAGTATGATGCCCAATGCTAATGATACCCTGCTATTGACTCAAAGGAGCCCATATTTTGCATTTAGATAGCAAAACACAGTGCTTTTTAAAAATCACTGGATTTTATGAGATGGAGAAAACTGTGTTTATGTTGTCAAGGTCTAAAATCTTATTGTGGACAAGTAGGATTTTTATTTGGAATAAAACCCAAGAAAGCAAAACATATTTCATAATCTGTGTGGAATGATATGACTTCCATTTTAACCAGGTGATTAAAACTATCCTTTGCAGCCACAACTCACACACTTTTGGACCACTGTGCCTTTGAGAAGGCAAACATCTGTGGCATGATTCAGGGTACGAGAGACGATGCTGACTGGAATCACCAGGACAGTACTCGGCTGGGACAAGGGGATCACACCTTGGTGGGACGCTGCACAGGTTGGTGAAGGAGGAAATAATGAAACATTTTGAGGGGCTTCACTCCATTGAACTAGATAATAGTTGTTAGCACACTCTACCTTAATTTGAATATCAAGATTGGGAATTGGACCAAGGACAAAGGACATTTCTTCTATCTTCATTATTACTGCAGTAAAAAGAATCTGTATCTGTGCATGTCAAGGAAAAATGCATTTATATTTACGTAATAACAAAATTGACTTGGACACTTGGTTGATAAGATTTTTGTAAAGAAGATAATGTCTCTAGGGAAGTATCCTCTAATTACAGGTGTAATTAAAATGTAAGGGTCCCCCCAATAACTACATTAAAAAAATAAGAAAAATCTGGCTAAATTAACTTTAGTAATAGTACCTTTACACACACACACACACACACACACACACACACACACACACACACACATACAATTTTTATTTTATACTGGTATACTAACAAAGTTCACATACACTGTTTTTCACACCAGATCCTGAAGGACTTCCGGTGGCATCTTTTTTTTTTTTAAATTAAATTTTATTAGTTTTAATGAACATTTACAGGGATTTGGGGTTTTCATTCCTTCATTACTGCACCATTCTCTCTACCCTCCTCCCCAGTTTGTTCTTCTTCCCCGCCATCCGAATGTCTGTTTTAATTGTCTAGTTACCACAGTACTTGTCAAAGTCAGTTCTGATTAATCTCCTTTGTCGGTGTGTCCTTTGCCATTCCCTATCACTCCTCCCTGAGAGAGACTTCACCCTGATTCATAAGGAAAAGGGGATGGTGTATTCTCTTAGCTACTTCCTGCTGAAAAGGGACGCTGTGGGTTTCAGGGTGAAGATCTTCTCTCACTACTCTAAAGGGCCCCTTTGGCAGTAGGAAACACATAGACTATTATGGAGATTGATTTTGGAATTTAAATGCACTGTTATTAATTGTGCTTAGCCTTACATGTTCATATCCCTGAAGATGTATCATGGGGGGGTTGCAACCTAGAAGACACAAATGTGACTAACAAGTTATAAGTACATGAGTCAAAAATTATGGAAAAGTAAAAGAAAAGATTCTTTCATTGTTTTACAAACCCTCCCCCAGGTCCCCTCCACCGTGTAGCCCTCGCTCTAGACTCCTGTGATGACAGAAATACCTAGTCACATATCTCTTTAACACAGTTTTCTCCCTCCTCTGTTTCAGTGCAGTATACATTATTGAACACATCTTATTCAGTCTCTCCCCAACCCTGAGGTTAGTCCCATTCTACAACAGTGGCATCATGTAATATTTGTCCTTTTGTGACTGGGATATTTCACTCAGCATGATGTTCTCCAGAGTCAACCATTTTGAATAATATTGCATGAGTTCCTTGTTTTTTAATGCAGCATAGTATTCCATTGTGCGAATATGCCACAGCTTCTCTAGCCATTCGTTTGTTGATGGGCACTTAGGTTGTTTCCAACTCCTTGCTATTGTGAACAAAGCTGCAATAAACATGGGAGTGCATATATCTGCTTGGATGTCAGCTATGGTCTCTTCAGGGTATATACCCAGTAGTGGAACTGCTGGGTCAAATGGTATCTCTATTTGCAACTTTTTGAGAAAGCACCATACTGCTTTCCACAGGGGTTGCACCATTTTACACTCCCACCAACAGTGAATCAGGGTTCCAGTTTCTCCACAACCTCACCAGCATTTGTTGCTTGCTACTTGTGAGGTTTTCTAGTCCATGCTTGTCTGACGGTAGGTTAGGCTTCCTTCTCTGAAGGAACCCAGCGTGTCCTCCTGCTACCTGGTCATCAAAGAGATCTCAGCAATTATAAACCAATGTCATTCTTCCTCCAGCCTTATCAAAGGGTAGAAGTGTCTAGAACAGGTGAGATGTCAGCCAAATTATCTCAAGTGTCAAAACAGAAATCCAAGCCTGATATTTTCTATAACTTTCCATTATTACTCAGAACCCAAGATCTCCAGTGAGCTAAACATATATAATTTTTTTTTATAAACAGAAGGGTGATATTTGTATGTTAGGAAACTACTGGGAGCATGCACCGTAGGAAGAAAATAAGGATCACAGATCAGAAGAAATATCGAGAAGCTTTGTCAGGTTAATTTTATGAAGTTTTTTACTTCTTCCGTAACATGGTATTGACTAGGCCTGTTCTCTTTGCGTTGGATTGTATTGGTATTATCTATGTAAGAGTATGAGTTGAAGGTTCAAATTGCTTGGAATTGAACCACTTTTCCACTTGAAGTCCAGAGTAATGAGGTTCATTGCTAGTTGGGGCAGGTTCTCTGAATCTCAAACAGGAATTAGTTGACTTTCACTTTCTAATTAGGGCTTCCAGATCAAAGTGAGAAACCCCATTGCCTTTGAGTCAATTCTGACTTATGGTAACCCTCTATCAATTTTCCTAGGCAGTAAATCTTAACAGGAGTCAATTGCCTCATCTTCCATATTTCTCCCACGATGCAGCTAGTTAGTGTGTTTGAACTTCTGACCTTTCCTTTGGCAACTTAACCTTCTTTGCCACCAGCACTCCTTTTCATGATCAATGATTTTTCTCTTGGAATGAAATTTTAATTTATACAATGAAGTCAAGGAGGAAAGTTCCCACACATTAACTTGACTCAGCCTTGATGTGAAGGCTATATTCCCTTAAGTCAGAGGTGTAGATTTCCCAAATTTGGAGCAAAGGCAATCCAAGAGACAACAGAACGACAGTATCAGTCAATCTGTCCATAGAGACAAAAAATAACAACAGACAAATGCCCCCCCCCTTTTTTTCAGGGGTAACCTGAAGAGCTAGTTCTATGGTTTGGCTAATGACTGTTCTCTAGTTCACCTAACCTGGCAGAACAGCCCCTGGGGCAGCAGGAAGCCAGCCATAGACATCAGGATTCTCTCTCCACAGGCGCCGGCTACTTCATGCATTTCAACACCAGCTCAGGGTCAGCAGAAGAGGCCGCTCTACTGGAGTCTCGGATTCTTTACCCAAAGAGGACACAACAGTGCTTGCAGTTTTTCTACAAAATGACAGGAAGCCCTTCAGATAGACTCGTCATCTGGGTCAAAAGAGATGACAGCACAGGCAACGTTCGCAAGCTGGTCAAGGTGAAGACCTTCCAAGGTACTTAGCTATCCACACAGGACTGCTTATCCTGCAATCTGCTAGCAGACGCCTGCTTCCTCAACCCCTCTTCCTTACTTTCTGCATCGTTGCTCCTTTCATCCTACTCCCTCCTCTTCTGCTCTTCCACATTTCCCTTCTTTCTCTTTTTGTTCTACGTCTTTAGATATAAATCTTCACCTCACTGCTGTTGTGTGAGAACTGACTCGTGGTTGACCCTCCAGATGTTTTTCAGATTCTATACATTTCACAAAGGGAGATTGTTCAACACTGTCCCACAGACCTGCTGGTGGCTTTGAACCACCAGAGAGGCGCCTCCTTTGAGTTATCCTCACAGCTCCCTGCCAACCCACCACTAGAGCTCCACACATAGATGTAGTTAGAAAACAAACATATGTCTACATCCATCAATGCACTTACATGTAAACTTATATGCAAAACACTGGCATGCGAAATGTATATGTACACATAAACACACACACTTTTTTTTTAAACTGGAATCAGATCCCCCCTTCAGATGATCCCTTTGCTATTCTGAAAAAAAATAGAGATGAAACTTGTCTCTCCCAAAATACCTAGCACCCAAGCACCCACAATGTAGGGAGCTAAGTATTAGCTGGGATATTCATAATTAAAGATTGAATGTAAATTTAAAAATAAATCACAAATGATAAGTTGTTGCTCTCTCCCTCACTAAATCTGTGGCCCTGGAGAAGTTAATTGGTTTAAAAGCATTCCTCCTTCATAGGGGTCTTTTAAGGATGAAACGAGATAATATGTGTCAAGTACTCAACAGTCTACCACAAGTGCTCGATAAATGTCAGCCACAGTTGTCACCAGCCTCGTTCTTGATTTGTCCTCAGGAGATGCTGATCAAAATTGGAAAATTGCTCACGTGACGCTCAGAGAGGAAAAGAAGTTCCGCTACCTTTTCCAGGGCACGAAAGGTGACCCCCAGAACTCAAATGGAGGCATTTTCCTGGACGACATCACTCTGACAGAAACGCCATGCCCCACAGGGGTTTGGACAATTAGGAACTTCTCCCAGGTCCTCCAGAGCACAGTTCAAGGAGACAGACTCTTGAGCCCTCGCTTCTATAACTCCGAGGGATATGGCTTTGGATTGACTTTATATCCTCATGGCAGACTAAGCTCCAGTAGCTCTGAGTACACAGGAATTGCTTTTCATTTGTGCAGTGGGGAGAATGATGCTGTCCTGGAGTGGCCCGTTATAAACAGACAGGTCATAATGACAATGCTGGACCAGGAGCCTGATGCTAGGAACAGGATGTCTTCCAGCATGGTGTTCACTACCTCCACATCCCAGACATCTACAGGTAGGTATTTCCAGCATAATTAATATCTACCACCACCACCACCCCGAGCCCAGAAGGACCAGAAGATGTGATACTTATCTGTATAAGAGAAATTAAAGGGAGGCCTAGTGGTAAGGAGTTGTGCTGCCAAACCAGACACAAGTGGTTCGAATTCACTAGCTGCTCCTCAGGAGAAAGGCAATTTCCTCCCATGTGATTTGAAGCCTCTGAAAACCCACTGGAGAATCATGAGTGGGTTCTGACACAATAGCACATGATAACATGAGAAAGTAACATTTCTCCCACCTGTTCTCCTTGGATATGCCAATAACAGAATCATGTTGAATTATCAAAGCTCTCAAAGCCTTGTTGGCTTTCTTCTCTTTTCTGAACTCATGGATCAAGCATCTACTGAGAGCTTGTGATGTCTAAACTCTATGTTAATCACAACTATGGAGCCCGCTGTGGCTAAGAGCAACCCTATAAGAAATAAGAGAACTAGCCCAGAGGGTTTCTGAGGCTTTAAATCTCTGTGGGAGCAGACTGCATCATCTTTCTCCCACAGGACAGCTGGTGGACTCAAACTACTGCCCTTTCAGTTAGCAGCCCAACATTTAATACACTGTGCCATCAGAGCTCCTTCAGATACTATGTTGGCCACATAGAACAGAAACCCATCAGGCTGTTCATTGAGCTTTGCCTAATTGAAAAGACAGATTGAAATCATGGTTTAGAAAATGCTCTGCACAGAATGAATGCACTGATCCCTAAAATATTATTAAATGTCAATATGTCTGTGAAATAAACTTTGATCACTGAAGGAGTAAGAAAAGTCATTTTTTAAAAGAAAGCATTTTAAGTTTTAGAAGCAAAAAGCCAACAGCTGGCCTTCCCTCTTTACTGAGGGAGTCACTTGAATGCACAGCTGACCATTCACAACTGTGATTTTTTCCTCTCTCTCGTCCCCAGATTTAGTTCTTTTGGAAAGGGAAGCACTTTTATTTTTTAGCATCATTTTTCTGATGAATAAAACCATACTCAATTAAGACAAAATGGAAATGAAGCATAGCAATGTAGCATGAATTTTACAAGGTCTTTCTATTCCATCTCACATTGCAGCACTAAACGGCTCTGTCATCTGGGAGAGACCATCTGTGGTTGGATCCTACGACTCGAACTGTAATTGTTTTAGGAGCATCGACTGGGGTTGGGGCAGTGCCATCTCCCACCAGATGCTGAGAAGGAGGAGCTTCCTTAAAAATGATGACCTCATCCTTTTAGTGGACTTTGAAGGTACTTGTGCTGATCTTCTTTTTTTTTTTCTTCTTAAGCTTTGTTATTATTTTAAAAATAATTTTAATGAGCATTTACAGAGATTTTGGATTTCTATTCATTCATTGCTGCACTTCTCTCCCCGCCCAGGTCTCCCCCACCCCCAGTTTGCTCCTCTCTTTCAAAAGTAAAAGAAACACTCCCTCCCTGGAACACAATCCCCCCCACACTCCTCCCGCCGCCCCAAGTACATTCCACTATGTAACCTTAATTGTGGACTCTTGTGATAACCATAATACCCTATCATACATCGCTTTTAAATTATTCACTCCCTCATCTGTTTCAGTGCAGTAGGGATAATCCTATGCTCTAGGTTTTCTACTGATGTTGCACTAGGTTTTGGGTTTTGGGGTTTTTTAAAAATTTTTTTATTAATTTTAATGAAAGTTTACAGAGACTTAGGGTTTCCATTTGTCGTTGTTGCACCTTTCTCCCTGCTGACCCCTCCCCCCATTCGATCTTCTCTTTGAAAAGTAAAAGATAAATTCTTCCATTATTATACAATGTCCCCCTCCCCCAAGTTCACTCCACTGTGCAGCCTTGATTCTGGACTCCTGTCATGACAATAAAACAGTTCTTTCCCTCACCTGTTTGAATGCAGTATACATTATTTATCCCCTCTTTCTCAGTCTTCCCTCAACCCTGATGTCAGTCCTGTTTTACAACAGTGGCCCTATGTAATATTTGTCCTTTTGTGACTGAGAGATATTTTACTCAGTGTCCTCCAAGGTCCCCCATTTTGAATACTATTTCATAAGTTCCTTGTTTTTCAATGCAGCATCGTATTCCATTGTGTGAATATACCACAGCTTCTCTATCCATTTGTTTGTTGATGGGCACTTAGGTCATTTCCAACTCTTTGCTATTGTGAACAAAGCCACAATAAACATGGGTGTGCGTATATCTGTTGGGCAGTGGTTATGGTTTCTTTAGGGTATATTCCAGTTTTTAAGCAACTCATGCAAGATGGTAGGGGTTTTTTAGAGGAGATGACAGAAGAAGTCATCAACTGTGGTGTTGGAGAAGAGTATGGAATATCCCATGTATCGTCAAAAGGACAAACAAATCTGTCTTACATCCAGGGTGCTCCTTAGAAGCAAAAATGGTGAAACTTGTCCCCACATACTTGGGGCATATTGTTGGGAGGGGCCAGTCCTTGGAAAAAGACATCATGCTGGGAAAGGTGGGGGGTCAGAGAATAAGAGGAAGACTCTAAAGAAGATTTATTGACACAGTGACTGCAACAATGGGTTCAAGCGTATTCGTGAGGCCAGCACAGAAAAGGGCAAAGTTCAGCTCTGTTGTTCACAGGGTCACTGTAAGTTGTAGTAGACTCAGTGGCATCTAACAACAGCAACAGGTTTAAAAAAGTGTAAGACAACCACATTTTGTGCCCTTGCTCCATGATTTGCATCTTTAACTATTCTTGGGGTAAAATAAAATTTTAGTGCCATCACTTTTGTTATTTTGTCAAATATGAAAGTTTGCTGATTTCAATTTTGTTTCGCCAAGTCCATCCATGCTAGCTGTATGCTTCTTTATGCAAATTAAATAAAAATATTACTTAACTATTTTAAAACTAAAAGTAGTTGGCGTTATAAAGTCCAGCTGGACTCAATTCTACTCTTCCATGCCATTCAAGGGGATGCCCATAAGAGACAGAGAGCTCCAGAAGACTCTTTCTAGAAGTGGAAGTTAATTGTTGACTTTGTTAGGTGTCCTTGAGTCTTAGAGGGATCCTGTGTACAACAGACCAAAACCCTGCCTGTTCTTCCATGCTGCTCAAAATTGTTGTTATGCTTGAGCCTATTGTTGAACTTACTGTGTCTCCCTCTTTTTTGCTGACCCTGTATTTTTCCAAGCATGATGTCCTTCTCCAGGGACTGGTTCCTCTCAAGAACATAACCATATACATGAAATGAAGCCTTACTATTCTCACCTAAAAGGAGAATTCTGCTTGTACTTTTTCCAGGATAGATTTGTTTTAATTGTTTCGTGTTTGCCGTTTTTGGTTGTTTGTTTTTTTTTTAAATGCATGGTATATTCAATATACTTTGCCATCAACCATAATTTGAAGGCCTCAGCTTTTGAATGCATATGAGATAATTGAAAATATCATGGTTTGAGCCAGGCGCATCTGGTCAAAGTAACAGTTTTAACTTTTTATCTTCATGGGTGTTGATTACACCTCAAGAAAGATGAAATGCTTGACAACTTCAATGTTGTGTTTTTTTCATATATCATAATGTTGCTTATTCTGAGGATTTTATCATGATGTAAGCTTATTATATAGATTCAGTAACAAAGATTTTGGTTTTTTTTAATGCTGATTTTTAATGCATATTTAAAGGGTTTTTAAAAATATTTTAATTTATTTATTTTTCATTTCAATGAACATCTACAGAGATTTTCGAATATACTTATCTGTTTATTGCACCCTTCTCTCCTCCCTCTCCTCCTCACAGCCACCCCCCCACCCCCTGTTTGCTCCTCTCCCTGAAAAGCAAAAGAAAAACTACCTCATTGGTACACAATTCCCCCCACACCTTCCCCAATCCCACCCCAACCCCAAATATAATCCACTCTGCAACCCTCATTGCGTACTCCTACGATAAACATAATGCCCTAAAATATAGTTTGTAGCCTTTGTTCTTCAGTAAATGCTTCAAGTCGTCTTTACTTTCAGCAAGCAATGTTGTAGCATGTGCATACTGTTGTCTGTTAATAAGGCTTCCTCCAACCTTGATGCTTATTCTTCTTTATGTAGTTCAGGTTCTTGCATTATTTTCTCAGCATACAAATTGAGTTGTTGTTGTTGTTGATTGCCATTGAGTCGAGGACGACTCATAGCAACCCTGTGAACAAAAGGCTTGAAACTTTTCCATAAGTATCATCATTTCTCCAAGTTGACAGAGTTTCCAGAGGCATGTGGTTTAGGAAGCGGATGTCATTCCTGCTTCCAAACCTGTCTGAAACTTGGAGCTCCACCAAACACTGTCCACCATGGGCAGCCATTATAGCATTTGACCCCTCCAGAAAAAGAATACAATTCTGACACACTGTTTTAAATTCTGAACATGCAGTATCCACTTGTTCTGTTTGAATAAGAACATCTTATTCTAAGTACAGGCTCAATGTGAACATAATGAAGCATTGTGAAATTCTCAACCTAATTACATTTATTAATCCTCGTTCTTCTTCTTGTCCCTTTGTCCATGTCTTGTAGATATCACTCACCTGAACAAGACTGAAGTTCCTATTAAAAGCACAAGGCTGAGCCCCCAAGGCCTTACGCTCCACAATCAGAAACAGGGGGTCACAGAGAAGGATGCACAAAAGCCCTTGTTACAAGAAGTCCCACCTAGCAGCCTGAGTCAGGGGCAGCCCAGTCGACAGAAGAGGTCTGTGGAAAACTCGGGTCTCGTGGACTCCCACAACCAGCCACAGTACTTCAGAGACCCATGTGACCCGAACCCTTGTCAAAACGAGGGCATCTGTGTGAATGTGAAGGGGCGGGCGAGCTGCAGGTAGGTTCTGTGGCTGGGGGTAGGCACATGGTGGGTCAACATGCATGGACTGAGTGTTAAGCTCATGCTAGTAAAGGGTAGAGTTCTTATTATCTACCACTGAATTGTGTTGCAGAAATGGTTGAAATGGCAGATGTTTTGTTATAAATATTCTGCCATAATAAATTTTTTAACAATTTTTTTTGTCAGTTAATAAAAAAAAATGGCACTGCTAACAAGTTAGGGAAATGATTCTCAGAGGGTGAAATAGACTGAATTCTCTAGGGCCTTCCTTGGCCCTACAAGTATGCAGCCAAGTTGGGTGGCTTATATTTTTGGAGTAAGTTAGTTGTCCTTTCAGGTCAGAGGGATCTCAGATTTCTCTTTCTTGGACTTTATCCCTTAGTCCCATTGAAGCATTGCCAACATCTTGAAAGTCGTGGGAATTTCTAATTTCAGTGCTGCAAAACTGGAGATTTCAGTACATGCCGGGACTCACAGTGTCACATTGGGACTCGGGAACAAGCTTAAAGTCTCACTGACTTGAAGTGTCATTATTAGTTATTGATTATTGTTTTTTAAGTAGTTCTATCACACCGTTAATATGAATTCTATATTTAAGAATAGTAAGAATCACTGCCATCACTGTAATCGTCTAATGATTAATTCTATCTCTATCTCACCCTGAAAGTTCATTATTTATAATTCATTAAAGAAGAACAGTTCTCTCTCCTCATTTACATATTTTATATTATCCAATTATTTATATCACGTAGGACCCATTAGGGAGCCCTGGTAGCCAAGAAGGTTTTGCAACAGCAAAAGCATATAGTTTTAATCTATCAGCTGTAACATAGGAGAAGGATGGACAATCTCCTCTGGTGCCATTTACTCTCTCTAAAAACCCTCGGGACTGGTAGATATGGGTTGATTCTGACTCAATAGCACACAATAATAATGACCCCTTAACATGAATAAAATATAACTTTTTATTTTATTTTATGAGCTATACTTGATAACGTCATCATTAATTTTGTCACTCAAATCCTTGATTTTTGTGAGCTCTCGGAACTCTTTCAGGTTGGCTCTGGGGCCCTTTCAGCATGCAGTCATCCTTTTATCATGAGCAGATTCTTACTTTCTGACCCCATCAGGTGCTCGAAGCTCAGTTGGTATTGTCCCTGCTCCCCTCCTGGAATCACTCCATCTGAGGAGCCTGGACTTTTTTACTGGACAATGTCCACCTTGGTTTTTCGAGGACTCTGGAGCTATGGATCTTAGTCTCTGTTTGATTAGTCTTTGGCCACCAACTTTCAGTATGGACCACATCTGGCTTCATCTTCCCCAGACTATGGGAAGAGCCGAACAGTCATTTTATGTTGACTTCTCCAAACTAAACCACTGTTACTGCATTGATTCTGACTCAGCAATGCTCCCTTGGGTTTCGGAGGCTGTAAACTTTTATGGGAAGAGACTGGATACCTTTATTTCCCTACAGCAGCTGGTAGACTGGTTTGACTGAACTTTTGGTCACATTATGCACTAGGTCTCTCCTGCCAACTTCTAACCACCAGAATTGTTCCTTTCCCACACACCTGAAGCTTGGAATTTAAAGTATAAGTTCTAAAGCAACAGTGCCCATATAGGATTGCTCTGCCAACCCAAAGGCACATGGTTTGAATCTGCTCGCTTCTCCACAGGGGAATGATGTCTCTCATGTAATTTACAGCCTCTGAGAACAACCCTCTCCTGGAGGGTTGATTTCAACTCGACAGCTTATAACAACACCACAACAATACAACACTAGGGAATGTTTTATATTTGGGGTAACCGAGTCGGTGAAAAAACAGACCTTGTGGTGCAGTGGTTAAAAAAGTGATTGTCTACCAAACAACAGATTAGAGATTCAAACCCACCAGTTGTTCTGTAGGACAAAGGTGGACAGTCTGCTTCTATAAAGATTACAGCTGTGGCCTCCCCATGTTGTTTTTGTACCATCAAGTTGGAACTGACCCATAACTGACCCTCCAGCAGGTTTTTAGAGGCAGTTAATCACACAGGAGGAGATTGCCCATCCTTCTCCTATGGAGCAGCTGGTGGATTTGAACTACATGCTTGCTGGATTACAATGCAGGTTTATACCACTTGGAAAACTCCTTTAGGAACATTGAATTTGAATAGACCGAGCAGCATGGATTTTTACTTGAACTGAGTCATAAAAATTTTAACACATTCCAAAAAAAAAATAAAATAAATTTCAACACATGTCAATTCCCACTAATTTTTAAGAAAATGATTCTCAGGTAAGAGATGAGATCTTTAAAAGCAAAAGTACTCCAGGATTAATGAAAGAACTCCTTGACATCTGAACACTCCATTCTCCTGAGAGTAGAGAATAGGATAAAAGCATTATTTGAAAGAGAGACTAGAGTTTTTATGAAGAAATGAAACATTATCCTTAACAACTCTGTTCTGAGATGAGTTTGATCTCTATACTAAACAACATTCTGAAAATTATATATCTGGGCTGTGTGCCCACTGATATGTACATTGGCCTCATACTTGATCTTCATGGGTGGTGGTGTGCTTCCCCTCATAGTAACATTCGATTTCCATTGATTTTGCCCAGAAAACTTTCAAGCTCTCCATAAACCAGTGAGCCAGAAGTGTCAAATCTATTTTCCCATACCTTCCTCCTGGATTTCACAGCTGGTAACTGAAATCCCCAGACCTGCTAAAAACCTCAGTTATGAGCTGCTAACTCAGCATGGGACCTTAAACAAGTTATTTCAACTTTCTGTGAAATGAGGATGATAATAATGGACCAATTATAATCTGTGTCTTCAGAGGGTTGTTGAGGATTAAGTTGATGCACACGGAGCCCTTCTAAGGAGCTGAACACAGACAACTCTGTTGCCATAGCGATGGGGTTGTCAGGACACACCTGTTGGTTCCTACACTCGTCCATGCATCTTGTTTCCCCAGGTGCATCTCCAGACAAGCCTTCGCCTACACTGGGGAGCTCTGCCAGGCCAGGCAGGTACACGGCAACACTGTGGGCCTGATGATTGGAGGCGTGGCTGGTGCTATCATCTTGACCTTCACCATCCTCTCCATCTTTTCCCAAAGGTCACGGCAGTGACTGCCTGGTCAAGGTAGCATCTGCTGATGACAGCCTGGCTGCAGAGGCGCCTCAGATCTTCCTTCCTCATGCACGACTCAGGCTGGGTAGTTTTCACACACTTTTCATTGTCTGATAAGGCCCTCTGAAGACTAAGACCTGTAGCCTCTTGTGTAATTCATAGTCTATCACCACACATCCCACCTCTGACTTCCTCCCACCACTCCAACACATGCTTGTATGGTTCTGTTACCCCGCCATGTGCTCCTAAAGTATCTAGTACACTTGAGAGCAGTGCTGAACACTCTAACTGGTTATGTCATTTAATTGTGGCCATTCCCATAGACCATAAGCTCCAGTGGGGCAGGGCCATACCACCTTTATGTGCCTGGTTGGCACATTACAAGAACTCAGTAACTGTTTGTTGGATGAGTGAATGTGAATTCTTCAACTCTCATTTCTACAACAGATAAAGACATATGATACAATCTAAATATCTGTTGTATCAGAATAAAATATCCCTTTATCACTTTTCCACTGAGACAAAATGATATTTTTTCTCTTTAAGATCATGTATGTGAGAAGATTCTAGATAAGTTTTGCTCTGAGCACAGGGCTCCATAGCATGATGTGTGCAACATTATATGTGAATTGTGTGTGCTTGATGTGGGGTGGGAGTGGGGCCATTTCTTTGATCTTTTCAAGCTGTAAAATATATTTTCCAATTATATTGGGGGACACCAAGGTCAACTGGCATGGCACTCAGTCCACAAGGACAATGCTCTACACTCTATATTGGTGGGGAGCAAGTGGGGACTTGCCATCTAAAAAAGTACACCCATTGGTTTCTCCTTGTCTGGAGCAAAGAAAAATGAAAGGAAACAAAGACTTATGGAAACAATTAATTTATAGCAGCAACAGATGTCAAAATCCTCAGCTTCCACCATCCTCAGACCAGAGGAACCAGGTGGTGCCCAGTCACCACTCCTGACCACTCCGAAAGGATCACAGTGAAGGGTCTTGAGTCCAGTTGGAGATGAAAATAGAACAGAACTCAGAATCACAGTAATGGGCAAGCTTATCTGTCTGATAAAGATTGATAGAATTCCTGAGACTCTGACCCTTATATGCCCTTTGAACCTAGAATTGAGCCTATCCTAGTGGGTACAAATTACAGCCAAAAAACTAGTCTTTCTGTAAGATATACAAGAACTCAACACTTAGAACACTATCACACAGCATCAAAAGTGCAGCATGAGTCCAAAGACGAAACTCAGAAGATAGGAAAGGAGAGGCTGGAGCGATGAGTGGGAATTAGAACTACAGAGAGATAGTGATATTCAATGGGATTATTGTAATGAATGTCAAACAGCACAAGTGTTTATTAGAATATAATCTGTTTTGCAATCTTTCATTCAAATAAAATGTTTTTTAAAAGTTTATTTTACTAATGTGTACAACTATTAACACACTAATATATAAAACGTTTAAGGAAGCATTTTTATGGTAAAGATCAGATTAACATATTGTGAAGGGGGAGTATTGAGCACCCAAGGGCAGTCTCTCTAAGTTGGTAGTCCCTCCACTCTACCGAGCTCCTTCAGCCTTGTCTCTGCTTCATTTTCTTTCCACACTTCCTAAGAATTTAAGTCTGTAGGGGAAAGAGTGTTCCAGTCTAGATCAACGGAAAAGGCAGCTGAAACACTCATCCCCAATCAGCATAAGCTGAGCAAAGAGCCAACTCTAGTAGACATTTCAAAAGAGAAAATGACTAGAGGAGCTTGAGTAACTGGGCCTTAGCTAATCAGACTTCCAAGTACAGGCACATCTCAGAAAGGCAGGCAGGCTTGGTTCCAAATCCCTGCAATAAAGTGATTTGCACGATTTTTTTGGGGATTCCCAGTGTAAATCATTTGCGTTCTTGTCATTAGGTGCCATTTAGTCAACTATGACTCATTGTGACTCTATGAACATTAGTTCAGTATATTGCACCTTTATCATCATCTCTGATCTGCTTAAGCTCATTATATTCACTGTGCCAAACCATCTCAATGAGGTGGAGGTGTTCTGGCTGCAGGCTGGTGTGATTCACAGATGAAGGGGAAAGGCAGCTGGAGTCCCCTCCTCCACAGTCAGCACCTAAGCTCCTCCTCTGTCAAGTGGATTTACTAGCTGACTTAGCTCCTTCCCACCCTGCCTTACAGGGTTCTAGAGTAGTAAAGCAGAATGATGGGCACGGACACGTTTTATAGAGTTGAAAATGTATGCAAATATTGCCACTAACGTTTTCAGGCTACTTGAGAACCCACTAGCCCGTTCTCATACCTGGGGTCAATGGTAGAAATGAAAGCCAGCTGTTTTTCTCACCAGGATTCACGTTCGGCCACACAGTAAAATCTGGAGAGAGGCTTTCTCTCAACAAGGACATGCTCAGTGTCTCACTTAGAAGTGAGACTAAGATGCTTTTACCAGTTCTGGTTCCAGCTCTTTTCTTTGTGTTTAATTAAAATGAAGAGACTCTCAGTCTCGTTTAGATCTAGCCCAACCTCCAGTCCCAAACCGAGACAGCATTTTTTAACCACATGGATTGCTGTGTGGTAAAAGGTGCATGAATTTAAAAAATAACATAGAGTTTTGATCTACAACTAGAAATTAGTTACTCATAACCTGTGCGCTCTGGTGGCCTAGTGGGGTTGTGCTGCCAACCCAAAGGTACATGGTTTGAGTCTACCAGCTGTTCTGCTGGAGGAAGGTGGACAATCTCTTCCTGTGCGATTTACAGACTAGAAAAGCTCACTGGAAGGTCAGCTATTGATTGCTTCTGACTTGACAGCAATGAGTGTTTTATCTGTGAGTAAGAGGCCTGGTGGCACAGTGTTTATGCACTTTGATGCTAACCCAAAGGTTTGGTGGTTGAACCACATCAGATGTTGTATGTAAGAAGCACATGAGGGTCTATATACAGAGCAAGGTCATAGTTATTGGAATCCCTAGAACATAGTTCAATGCTATCGTGTAGAGTCATTGTGAGTTGGAATAGATGTGATAGTAATGGGTTTGGTTTGGTTTGGTGAGAAGATAGTTAGACTTTATCTCTGATATGAATCCATCAGTCATTCCTTGGGAGAAAGATGACAGTCTTCCCTTGTAAAGATTTACAGCCTTGGAAACCTCCTGGAGCATCACCATGAGTCAGAATCAGCTCGGTGGGAGTGGATTTGTTTTTTTTTAAAAAATTTTTTTTATTTTATTATTTGTGTGTGTGCGTGTACCGTCAAATCAGATCTGACTGATACAGGAGGAGATTGTCCCTCCTTCCTCGGCAGAGCATCTGGTGGATTCGAACTGTGCGCCTCTGGGATTGCAGTGCAGCTTCTTGCCACTAGGCCACCAGAGCTCCCCTGGATTTGGTTTTAATGTTTGGAAATTACTCTGAGCATGAGGGCCAGGAGTTCTTGTCGCATGGTAGAAGCTCAATAAATGTTGGCTGTTGTTTTTGTTGTTGTTGTTAGGTGCCATCAAGTCAAGTACAATTCATAGTGACCCTATGAACAAAAGATCTGAAACTTGTCCTATCCTGTGCCAACCTTACAATCTTTGACACATTTGATCCCATTCCTGCAGTCATTGTGTCAATTCACTCTTTGAGGGTATTTTTCTCCTTTGCCACCCCTCCAGCCTCCCTGTCCCTCTCCAAGGAATAGCCCCTCCCAATAACATGCTCAACGTATATGAGATGAAGCTTTGTGATCTTTGCCTTCAAGGAGCACTCTGGCTGCATCTTCTCCAAAACATTTCTGTTTAACAATCTTAATCTCTTCTCCATCTATCACAGTGCTGTCAGTTGGCCCAGTGTTGGGAATCTTTGTTTTCTTTTTTTATTAATTTTAATGAATGTTTACATAGATTTTGGATTTCCATTCATTCATTGTTGCATTTTTCTCCCTGCCCACCCCTCTTCCCCCAGTTCGCTCTTCTCTTGAAAAGTAAAAGAAAAATTCTTTCATTGGTATACAGTCCCCATCCCACCCCTGAGTACACTCCACTATGCAACCTTCATTCTGGACTCTTGTCTTAACCATAATACCCAAACATATGCAGATTTTAATCTGTTCTCTTCCTCATTTGTTTCAATGCAGTGTACATAATTTATCCAATTTTTTTCAGTCTCACCCCAACCCTGATGTCAGTCCCATTCTAGAACAGTGGCACCATGCAGTATTTGTCCTTTTGTGATTGAGATATTTCACGCAACATAATGTCCTCCAGGGTCACCCATTTTGAATAATATTGCATGAGTTCCTTGTTTTTCAATGCAGCATTGTATTCCATTGTGTGAATATATCACAGCTTCTCTACCCATTCATTTGTTGATGGGCACTTAGGTTGTTTTTAACTCTTTGCTATTGTGAACAAAGCCGCAATAAACATGGGTGTGCATATATCTTTCTGGGTGGCAGTTATGGTTTCTTTAGGGTATATTCCTAGTAGTGGAATTGCTGGGTCAAATGGTATTTATATTTGCAACTTTTTGAGAAAGTGCCATACAGCCTTCCATAGTGGTTGCACCATTTTACACTCCTACCGACAGTGAATAAGGGTTCCAGTTTCTGCACACCCTTACCAGCATTTGTTGAGAATCTTGGTTTTCTTGATGTTGAGCTTCAATCCATATTGAAGGCTGCAGTCCTTGACATTTTGCAGCAAATGCCTCAGGTCCTCCTTAGTTTTAGCAACGACTTTGTGTCATGTGCATAACACAAGTTGTTTTTGAGTCTTCCTACAATCCTGATGCCACATTCCTCCTTATAGAGCCCAGCCTCCCATGTATAGATTGAAAGGTATGGAGATAAAATACATCCTTGTCATAAACCTTCTCTGATTTTGAACCATGTAGTACTTCCTTGCTCAGTTCTGACAACTGCCTCTTGTTCCAAGTATAGGTTTCGCATAAGCACAATCAAGTGTTTTGGGATTCCCATTCTTCTCAGAGTTAGCTACAATTTGTTGTGATTCACACA